AATCTAACCCAACAGTGCTAAGGGTTCCTTAGTGCTACGCCGCAGAACGCGGCGTGCTGCGGCGCACGCCGCATGACGCAGCAGCCTGCCGCAGCACGCGACAGCGCTCTGTGTGCTGCGGCGTGCGCAACTGCAGTCGCAGTGAAAATATGCGCTCACGGCAGCCCTTTTTGCCGGTTATGGATGTATAATCTATACTTGCTACACGTTCGTGTTCTCCGAGAGTGTTCCTCACAGCTGGCGAGCTTATATTTCCACAACTGCAGCGGCGTAGTATGAAGGAACCCTAAGCATGTTGCTGATAAGAACAAGTAAAGTTTTCGAATCATGAAACTTGTGATGAACCACGAGTCGAAAGTTGAGGCTTGTCGAAAATTTCGATATTTCAAACACTCTTTGTTTTTACCTTAGCAACATGCTTAGCATTGTTGGTCCAGACGAATATACAAGTTTGGTTTCGTTAATATTCTACATGTTCTCTGATCATGACACCTGGGTTTGAATCTATGAAATAATGTTTGAGCCACACGTTTGTCAAAATGTTTATTCAGTCCAACGTTTCGGCAATAATGCCTTTCTCAGAGACCTGGAAGAAAGTTTCCTCACACTGTTTTGTACCATATACGATCAAATTCTCTTCTCACCTAGCTTAGCTCGATGCCTCGGGGGCAAACATGCCCAACTATCATTGAGTAATACGTTGTGAGTAGCGTACTAACAACAAGATCACCGCCAGCACGGCGACAGTCGTTCAAAATCCACTGGTGAGACTATGGATGATTGATGTGGACAGCTAAAGTAGTAGTGGATATGCTATTCATAACTGACAGTATGGCAGAAATGGCATAATCACTTGTGATGGAGAGCGGCTCATTCTTCCGCTCAACTTCGGTTAGCGTGTAAGAATGTATGCAGCTTCAAGCGCTTTGCAAGCAGCGATTCTTTATTCGTGACCTAGAATGATGCACTTAATATCGAAGTCATTGCCGTGATGTTCTACTTCTTGTGTTTCCCTAGCGTACTTGACATGCTTTCCCTTTTCTTACTAGCCAAATGCTCACTGACACACACGCTGAGTTGCCAACCAGTCTCCCTATGTAAGTCGCATGGCATTCTATACATTCAATTTCGTAGACGACTCCAAACTTAGTACAGTATCTCATTCCTTCGTGGCAAATGACGCAGTTCTTTGTAATAAAACTCAGACAACTGCATCGGGAAGTTGCGGGTGCTTGCTCGGCCACCAATCGTCCATGCCGCGAGCTGCCCGGTATAAACCGATATTGGACCCGATAAGTGACCGCGGCTCTTTTAAGCGCCCGATAGTTGACCCGATTAGCATGCTTGTGAGGTCTGGGAAGAGTGGAGAGCTTTTGGATTGTCTTTCATGACAACGACTTAAGCGCAAATTGCGCAACTTGTTAGCTCATCTATCGACATCATCTAGTGTACGATAACATTCATCCGACTGCTAAACTTTGTTTCGTAAGCGTAAAAACTTTAACTGTCAGACAAGACCAAACCCGAGAAGCGATTACCGAGCCCCACAAACACTTAGAGTAGCCCCATCACTGCGCCGTACCCCACTCGGGTTTGCCTTTAACCTACAGCGTGTAAGAAGTACGGTCAGAAGTACGGTTGGTAGAACCCGCGGACCGCCGAGTGATGTGGTTGGGCCGCGACTCTCCCGAGAATTTATTCTCAGGTTCAACTTTTGCCGCGGCATTCTCCAGTAAGTTGTACATGGGCCGTGACGCGAGGCTGAAATTTCAACGGCCGCGGCGCGACAGGTGATACGCTTTGAGGCCGCGAACTTTTCGAAATTGTCTGAGAAGCTGAATCGTATAACGATTACGCCCCAACTGTTGCTTGCTGTTGCTTTGAGGAATCTTTACGAGAGCAAAATCTCGCTCCAACTGAGCTTGTTTTATACAAGTCTAGAAAGCGTGCTTTGCCTTATCAGAATAAATGTAGACATAATGGCACCTAAAACCAGCTTGGCTATCGACACATTTGTGGTATTCTTTAAACGTCTAGACTTTGACGAGGAGTAATCATTGGAGGCTGCTATCTCATTCGCCAGCTCGAGGGATTCTTGTCGTTCACTCTACCCACTACACGCAATACTGCTCGCTTTACGGTGATCGGATGGGCTGACTTAGCGTGTACGGAGCTCTCTTTCCGGACTACGACAGAGACCAACCCTGACTGCTCGCTAAATTACATTTCCTCGTATCGCTCCGTTACTCAGCATTAGCTGGATGTTCAGATATGGCAACCGACCGTTTCGGGGAACTTCTCTGGTAAAACTCATGTGCTGTAATTGTTGATTCATCTTGAAACACTTGTCCATTTTCGACTGTGTTGATGTTACAATGCAACAATCATCAGTATATCGGCAGTACATAAGTGGGCTTCGTAGTGGCATTGGTCTTTCAATTTTGCTAACGAAGCAGACGGCTAGCGTAGGTGCTAATCTTTTTGTTCTCTCAACTGCGAATAGTATATACCTGACCAATTGAAGATATTACAGTTTAGACATTCCTTAATCAGAGTCATAATACGTGCTTCACTGTGCTCCTCGAAATGGTTTTAGCACATGAACAACTCAGAAAGCGCTTGTAAAGCGTCGCCATTGGAGACGTTCGTGTAAAGTGACGTTACATCGAATGACTCTATTGCACAATCCTGATCGAATATCGGTCGGATTTTGTAGACGGAGGCAAACACGGAGGTCATGTCACACTCAGAGAGCTATGCGTCTTTAAACGGCTGTAAAATATGAGACATCAAGCTTAAAGGCAGTTCATCCACAAACACTCCACTGCTGCGCCTTGACCGTAACACTAAGGATTGGTCCCAGCGCGAACGTAGTGTTAAAATGAGCGAAGTCGTTATTGGATTACGGTCACAGCGCAGGCGCGGGGTTTTCGGGGACGGATTTCTCAGCCGTAATCAAATGCACTGCCCCTTGGACAGTGCCTTAGTTATGACCTTTTCATCAATTTCCAGGCGAAAGAGCCATGCGACCAGATTTGCCTGGACACTGCCCTTGAAGGCAGTGGCTGAGCAAAACAGAACATTTCATAATTTTTATATGGAAAGTTGCTTGCACCCCAAACATGAAAACGGAGCAGGTCCGAGCGCACGGCATGCTACCCTACGTAGAAAAGTGCCCCTAAACCTATGCGCGTAAGCCATTCTTGTACGCGTTCGGACTAGCTGTGATATCCCTTACCCCATCAGAGGCGGTATGCCGCAATGCTATGAACATGAGGGTCCCACAATGACTCTACGTCTTTAACCATGGCGGGAAGCGTTCCACTCGTCCAAATACAAGTTGAGGGGCTTTGGGAAATGCTGTTTTCGCCATTTTCGCGCTCTTGAAAGTGGATTTTCAGAATTAACGCATCGAATTACCCCAGGCAAGCGAAAAAAATACATGCCAAAGATTTGCCGAGCCACTGCCTTCAAGTCTGCTGGGAAACTTTTTGTTGAGTCCAACTTTTTACCAAGCACCACCCATATGTGATTCAAAGTGCTTGCACTGGAAAAGAAATTTAATTACTTTTTTTATTCCTGTGGCAATAAACACTCTTGTCTGAAAGACGGCGCTTGGTTATCCCGCGATCCAGTTGTTGAAACATGACAACGTTCCGCCTTTATGCTTAGTATAAAGGCGGATCAATCAACCTTCGCATGCGCACGTTGAATACGTTTGCTTGATATTCCTGTTTTTGTTCGAAACATTGAGTATGCCTGAACAAAGAATCCGAAATTTGACATCTGTTTTATGGCAGGGTTCAGGTTCTTAGTAAAAAGATGATAGTAAGAAGATGACATCTGCGTTATGGCAGGGTTCAGGTTCTTACGAAGGAGAGTTCCCGAGTCAGCTCTGCCATACTGTACTGCCGATATTTACAGATAGGTTACGGCGTGGAATCCAGATATCTGGAGTTTCAGGATATGAAGCTTTCTTTCAAACTGCGATCTCCCCCCCCCCCCCCGGCGGGGACGTTAATGCATGCGGTCCTTAGTGCTTATGAAATGACGACTCAGCCTACTGCGAACCCAATGAAATGAATTTACCATTAACTAAAGGGAAGTAGCTAGAGCAGAAGAAAAAGGCTTTTCTCATGTTCCGACTTTGCCTGTAGGTTAAACCTTAACCTCACAGCACAAGGTTCTTAAAGGCTCAACTCAAATTCATACTCTTTGGCCCAGAGAGCCGACACAACAACTGCCTCGTCGTTCCCTTGGTTAACTTCAATTGCAATCCACATTCGCGCGTAATGGCTCCGCTAAAACGGTACTTTGAGAGACATCTAGCACAATTGTTCTTTACAAAGAAGTATAAGGCCTAAGACATTCCTCACTCCAATCGCTGCGCGATATGACATTGCAACGACTTTTCAAAACTGGTTGTAAGCGAGCTTTGCTTTCGCCGACTTACAGAAGCTACGCGCCCACACATTCAAGTCCCGCGCACTTTCAACAGATAAACAGCTCGCAAGTCGCCAAGTCGCGTGGATGTAGCGACTTGCCGAAATTGCGAGAAGTATGCCTTAGGCCTTAAGAAGTGAAAGAGCATTGGCCTTCAATATCACACTATAAGCTCACGCATAACTGACTGCGATACAGAAGACGTTTGGAAAGGTTAAAGAGGAGTGCGTGAAATCTTGCGAAACTAAAAGAGTACCAACAAATTTTTTCCGGTATCCTCGATTTGGGCCTCAAAAATGTTTCTCTAATTTTTGCAAGAAGGCATTTTGTGGAGCACACACAGATTTGCTATCAGAAATTTATGCCATATTCGCTTCTTCTTGACTCTAAAGACTCTTTCTAAAATGAAGCTTTCTACTCAGCATAATCAAAGTGCAAACTAATATTAGCTTTGAAAAGCCAGAAAGCTAAGCAAAAATAACCTTTTGACAACTTTATGTTTATCAAGCATTGTAATGAACAAAGTGATAATGCAAACTTAGGTTCAATAAATTTTTTTAAATGAAGGTTTGGAGAGATTTATTCAAGCTGTTTGCAATTTCTTGAAGTTGACGTAGTCGAACACGATAATCATGTTCTACACTTTTTTTCCGTTTCTCCAGATGTGAATCAATTACTTGTTCACTGGTAATCAAAGCAGTTTCGTGATGCCATGCTTCATCTGCAATGTTCAGCCTTTAAAGACGAGCAGTTTGAGAAGAAAACTTCTACAAGAAAGCTGTCGAAGTTCTCATAAATATGGTGTCAGTCGTTAGTGTTTTTGTGCTTCCGGTAACTTGATGAGATATTCTGACCCTTCAAAAAACTTCACTTTGTGCAAATTGCTACGTTGAAACGCTGCACAAATAAGTGCAAGACTTCATAACTGGTATTTCCTCTGACATGAGTCTTAAATCTTCCGGTTCTTTCGGTTCTAACAAACAATAGAACAGAGGCAGCTTTACAACAGTGTCAACCCGATATTGAAAATAGCGAATGGAATACCATAGCACATTTTCGTCCTTTTATAGTGCTAGTCAAGAGTGATAGGAAATTTAGCTAAACTTTTCCGGATCACTCTAAATTTGCCAATGTCCAAAATCTTTCTCAGACCAGCTATGACATGTACTATTATAAAACTCCTATGCTAAGGCCCTCACGCCACTTGACGAGGGTCATCTAACAGTGACGTATCCAGGATTTTAGGGGGGGGGAAGTGAAGCAAAAATTTCGTAATCTTACAATAATAAAGAAAGGTTGGTGATTCGTTACGTGCTGTAAATGCCGAAACCAGCTCTACAGAATGGTAGAGGCATCAAAGGCCACTTGTCAAGTCGATGAACCAGCGTATTCGTGAACGACTTTCTGCGTTGGGCTTTGAGTGCAGTTTCCGATTTCTATCGTCCAACAGTTATAAATTTCTGAACTCATTCGTACACCAAATGGAGGTAATTCAAGAAAAGCATTCGTATTTTTTAGATATTCTCACTTTTATCTTACAAGGGAACGATCCCAACTTAAGGTGGCGAATTGAAATGAACCGCATATCATTCGATGCGTCTTGATGAGCTGATTGCAAAACTACCTTCCATATCTGCGACAACGTTATCTGGAAGAAGTTATGAAAGGTTAAAAACGTGAGGTAACGGGGCTTTTAGTGCATAATTCGCTTCAAAATCCAACCTGGGAGTGTATGACTAGCATGGTATTGAGTGTACTGATTTCAGGGAATGCTCACACTCTAAAGAAACACAGATAAGTGTTTTTAAACAACTAGTTTTTGAAGTATTGCTATGTATATTTGCCAAATTTGAACTTTTCATTGCTCATAGCTTTTACCAAAGAACTTTAGTTGCTTTTTAGCTGTTCAAAAACATTTATTTGCGTTTCTTTTGAATGTAAGCATTCCGTGAAATCAGTACACTCAATACCATGCTAGTCATACACTCCCAGTTTGGATTTTGAAGCGAATTATGCACTAAAAGCCCCGCTACCTCAAGTTTTTAACCTTTCATAACTTCTTCCAGATAGCGTTGTCGCAGATATGGAAGGTAGATTTGGAATCAGCTTATCAAGACGCATCTAATGGTATGTGGTTTATTCCAATTCGCCACCTTAAGTTGGGATCGTTCCCTTGTTAGCATTTTTTGGCAAGAAAATTTTCATGAAAACTTTATCTTTTTCGATGTGTTGGAAATAATCTTTCCAGGTATTATTAGGTCGGCCTGAAAGTTCGTACCGTTCCTCGACCATGCTCAAACCACTTAGTATAATGATAGACAAACGCTTTGACAAGTGCAGAATTTATCCTCCTTTCTAACGGTCATGCCTCTATATAGATTATTTTGATGTCAGCTCAAATAAGCCACAGAATCTTCTCCACCAATCCTAAGTTTGGCTATTTTCTAGAATTTCCACTAGTTTTTGGATTAATTTTGATAGCAGGATAGAATAAACAATATTTAATACAATTAACTCTTTTGGCGCTTTTAAGTATTTTTTTAGTGCCACGTGAGTATTTTTTGAAATCCTTCACTTTAGCAAAGTCGTACAACTGCTTTGAACGCTGGTGTGAGCAACTGAAGGCAAGTGAGCGTTCAAAGATCTATAAGGTTGTCCGGAAATTAATGCCCGTTTTAAATTTCAACCGCAATAAGTCATACACTCTTCATTTTCAAAGAGATTGCAAAGTATCATTCGACAGAGCAAAGCAAGCTCTACAAGATGGCAATCCTGCTTTTGCAACAGCTCTAATCCATCTCGAGTTTCGAGCCAAAAACTAAAAAGACTCAGCAGCCCGAAAAATCGAAAAAAAATCGTAACTCTGTGTTTAAGAATCCTACAAAAATTTTAAATTGCTCGCGTAAACACTACCCACATAAGACATCAATATACGCCGTTGCCGTATTTTTTTCTCTGTTAAAAACCAAGAAAACGGAAGCTGTGCCCTCCCCACATAGGTAATTGTATACCACAAGCCTGTAGAAGTACAAACGTATATTTTCAGCTCTCTACAAGCTTTAGTTCTCAAAAAATTTGAATTTAAGCTTGGACCACCTAACTAGGGAAAGGCAAATTCGGTATTTCTCGAGAACTAGCCTTGTGGAGAGCTGAAAATTTAAGTCTGTACTTCTACAGGCTTGTGGTATACAACTGCCTATGTGGGGAGGGCACAGCATCACTTTGGCAAATGCATGAAAATTTCCGTTTTCTTGGTTTTTAACAAAGAAAAAAATACGGCAACGGCGTATATTGATGTCTTATGTGGGTAGTGTTTACGCGAGCAAATTAGAATTTTTGTAGGATTTTTATGAACTGAGTTACGATTTTTGTCAATTTTTCGGACACTGGAATGTTTTTAGTTTTTGGCTCGAAACTCGAGATGGATGAGAGCTGTTGCGAAAGCAAAATGGCCATCTTGTAGAACTTGCTTTGCTCTATCGAATGATACTTTGCAATCTATTTAGAAATGAAGAGTGTATGACTTATTGCGGTTGAAATTCAAAACGGGCATTTATTTCCGGACAACCTAATAAAATGTCGAATTAGGTTCTCTGGGTACAGCCTGAGACGAGTCTGGAAACAAAATTTATGATGATTTTATTCTCAAATTTTACAGTCATACGAAAAAAGTCTATCCGAAAGAGGAGAGTTGCATTCAAAGTCCCCTTGGTTGCTTAAGGTTTATTGTTCTGTGAAGATCCAAAACATGGAAAATAATTCGCAAAAAAAATTTTCAAAAATTTTAAGAAGCCAGTTAAAGATGCCAGAAAATTGTTTGTATTTCATGATTATTCTATTCAGTTTTCATCAAAACAGTCAAAAGTCGGAAGTAAAATCTTCAAAAATAGCCATACTCAGGATTGGTAGAACTGATGACTATTGAAGCGGACCAAAAAGGAATTACGAAAACATGACTGCTGGAAAGGAGAAGAAAATTTGCACTCATTGTTTGAAGCGTTTGTCTATCATCATTTTAAGTGGTTTGAGCATAGGTCTGGAAAGCGGCACGGATGACCGCAAGGTCTTGGACCGAATTTACCACTTATTAAGCTTCTTTCAGGCGCTATTGTTCTGATTTCATTGTATGCTTAGCAAGTGAAGTATCTTCTGCTTTTAATTCATCTAATAATTATGTTCTTGTCCTCGGAGTGGGTCACTCTGAGTACAAAGCTTGTAATAAATAAGACCAAAATCACTTGAATCGCCTGACTATTTATTACGGTTTTCCTGCTAATCTGGATTATGAGGAATCTGGATGAACATGCGGTAAGCGTAATTTACGCACGCGCCTTAAGAAAGTGACGTTAGGGTGTCTCAACTTACGCAATGAGCGAATAAATTTGGAGTCTCACCCAATGAACCTCAACCTCCCAACCTTGAAGAAGGGGAGCTGCTATATGAGGAACAGAACAAGATCAGATGTTGTATCTTGAAGACCTTCGATGGACCACGGCTGTGACTGATTGGACATTGCGACGTCAAAGACGAAAGAGAAAAATTGCCGAAGTAATGGTGAAACATGTTCAGTCCTTTGATGAAGTCCTTCAAAGCAATGTTTGGCGTCTGGTACGATAAGAAAACGTTGGCCAATCGCCGGGATGGAACTTAGAAACCCGAGCCTAATCAGCCCGACTCGAGAAGTGCTTGCAGGATACAGTAATGCTAGCTGTTTTTGCTCTCTAGGGGTATTACGACAGTTTAAGCCCCCCCCCCCCTCCCCTCTAGAAACCTTTTGAAACGTAGTAAATGCTGAAAATCTCAATGGAACTTCAGGTCTCTGAAGCTGATTCTTACAAAAGAAGTATGGTTGGTCGAAGTGACTTTTGAGATGGTTGTATACCATGTTGGAGGGCATGGAAATGAGCAGGTTCTAGTTTCGCAGTTCGTCATTAAGCGTGCACAGTGTGCACTATGCATATTAAAGGCACCGTCCACCCAAATTCTCGAATTCCATGTTTTTGTCGCTTCTGGGCCTTCTGAAGGCCCTGATTTCGAATATGAAGTCGAGAATCCCAAAAACCCCTATTTTGGAGAAAGCGGGACGGGTGGAAGTGCAGCTTGCAGGGTTGCGGCGCGGTTATCGCCCGGCAAATATCAGCGCCGCAGCCCCAAAGCTGCAAAATGGGCAGAGTGACCACCTTTGAATCACGTATCACGTACCTTCCAGAGCGGATTTTTAGCTCCGGAAGCAATCTTTTGCGGGAAAACTTAAGGGTTGGCCTAGTGTGGGGCCCACATTAGTATGCCATTGAATCTCGTGAGCCCTCACTTTGGGTGGACAGTGCCTCTAAGTTACGAATTACGACGATATACAAATCATCGCAAAGGCCACTTCGACTGACCATCCTTCGCTTGTTAACCGAAATTCTTTAATCTAAGAAAATAACTTCGGAAATAAGTCAAGTACAAACATACAAAAAATTCAAAAAAAAACACGGCTTCGATGATGGGCAGAAGAAATTAAATATTATTATCAGAATTACAATTCACAATCAGATAAAACAGCATTTCAAAATCCTATCTAATATGTAATCGTCTTACAAAGCAAATGGCCTTACAAAACCCTGCAACTGGCTTGCGTCATACGACTACGGGTATGTATGTGAGACAGATTATATCTCAAAAATTTCGGAACTTTTACTTACTTTTTTTGCATTTGTCAAGAATCAGCGGCGTTTTCAACGTGTCAAACCAGTCAAATTTGGGCCCTTCGAGATTCCTGTAAGATGGCATTTCCGACGTTTCCTTAACCATGAGCACCATCTTTCAACTTACAACTCTTGCGTCCCGTCAAAATGCTTTTTACGTTTTTCCTTTCTGTCATGAAACATAAAATCCTTTTGAGGGCTCCAATGACTATTTGTCAACCATGAATCTCTAACCCATCCATTTCCCTGAATTCAAATCAGTATTTGCTACATTAACGAACTCGTAAATGAAAAGGCTTTCCCAGGTACTTCTTGCTGCTGCAAAAAGACCTAGACAAACCTACAATTCAGTCAAAAACAGGTAAAACAGAAGAATACGTGCATCACTATGATCAACGTTAAAAACACATATCCATCAAGCCGTGAAATATTTTGATTTTGCTATGCATTATAAGAGCAGTTCAAGAGTTGAGAAGGAATTTACAGTTGGTTGCTTACAGTAATAGTCCTAATATAAGCTTTCAAGCTTATTTTCTTACAGTCACGACTAGGGTCAAGCGTGGGGAGTAGCACGACGCAACTGAGGGTCCTATTAAGGGGTCAACTAAGCTTAATAAAGGAGCCTATTAAATGGGCATTAGAATTCAAAATTAGCTCAGATGTTCTTTGCGGGTCTACCTTCTTTTACGCTCTATACAAAGCACTCTTCCTTTTTCTATACAAGATCTTTTTTCAATAGAATCAAGCTATGAAATAAGAGCCAGCCAATCTCGTTTCTATCATTTTCGCTTTCAAACAACATTTACTCAGATTAATGAGACGAGGTAGGCTCCAATTACTCCTGTAAAAAGCGACTACTCCCGTTTTACTTGACTAGTAAATTGAAGTTCTAAAAAAAACTAAGTCTATGAATGCTTTGAAGGTAAGGGGTGTGTCACAACCTCCCTCCCAAACCTTCCATTTACGAATGTCAATGGTAGTATTGAATGTGAGCGGATTGCTTTGTTTGCGTAATTCACGATTTCTTTACTTTTTGTAGGTGCTCGTCTTCTCTCGAAGACGTGTACATCCAGCAGTGTCCTTTTCAGTTTGTGTAAAGTTTGTGTGTTCCTTTTCTAAAAAAATTTCCGGCAGTGTTTTAACGATAAAATCCCTTGTCCTGTACGCTGCAATCACTGCATTTACAGTCTATTCCCCTCTGGCACAAAATGCTTTTCTGAGTTAGAGAGTTAAAAGGGGCGGTTTGTATTTTTTTTCCTTTGCCATGTTATTGAACAGTTTCGAGTGCCTCTGTGCCATACTTTGCAACACTTTGCGGTAGCTTATATCTACCAATTTACTTTGCAAAACCTTCATATTTGTAGTATTGTTATCCCCATTTCAGGGCCATTCATTTATTAATTATAACTATGCGCCTAATTCCTCATATGGATCGTGCTCGACTGCACGTTTCTAAAAGTGCCTTAACGGAATTCTGTCCTGCTCAATGCGACTTGCACTACATCCTCAAAATTTCCAAATTTACATTCAACTCGGCTAAAGTACAAATTTTTGTGCCGGTTTTCGACCACGCTTTTCCACACTATAATCCAGTAGCTCTTCCAAATCTCCTTTACTTCCTTCGCATGATTCTCCGAGATTTGATTAAAAAAGCGCTTAGGTATCATAGCTATCTTATACACATTTTACTAAAATTCATTTTCTTTAGTTTACTGAATGCAAATTTTGGCAAACAATGACTGCCGTCACAGCACAGTCTCAGTGGCGCAGCAAAACACAGCATCTTGGAAATGGGATGCTTATCTTGCAAAAATAAAGAGAACAACTCTGTTTTGTACAGCATGCCCCCCTTACCAGGCAATGACATTCAAACCCGCGTGGAAGTTAGGTTATTGCGCAAGAGTTTGCATGAACGGAGTAGCGATTTTCCTAATGCTGTAGGCGGCTTTGCCGCAACGTTATATACATGGAAATCACTCAGTTTCTTTAAGTTCATTTTACTCGTTCGTCAAAAGGTACCCATTTTCATAATTTTCGGGCTCACTTGATTGTTTTTTGAAATTATGGCATTTGATAAACCCTTGCAAGCAAAAATTGTTTACGTCGGGATTTGGCAAGCCATTGCTTCTGAGCTTGTCACTCAGTCTGAGTCAGTCAGAGTTGTAATGGTTTAAATCTTGTATATTGAGGTTGACGCAAAATCCCGTCAATCTTCGAATCCACCCTTGATTCAGACAAGGGATAAACAAAAAAGTAATGTACGACCGCGAATTTATCCAATTCTCCAGCAGCCAAATTTAAAGGCAGCGTCCTGGCGAAGAGATCGGTGCCTAATTTTTGTGGCGATGTAAAGTAGACTCTCTACCTAAGCGACGACTGAAGTTCGGAGCGAAAGAGCCCGAATCTTACGGTAGGCTCGGACGCCGCCCACACCGCAATATCGATTTGCAAGGCCAGAGTGCGTATAGCGCACACAGTTATAAGCGCAGGGTCCCGCAACGACTCTGCGTCTCTGCATTGCATGCATTTCGTACTCACCCGAGCCTACGGTGATTCGGGCCGCTTGAGGGGCGATTTGTAGACTTCGTAGGTCCCCCTCTCGCGCTGCAAACTTCTGTCGTCGTTTAACTAGGGGGTCTACTTCTACATTATTACCAGAGCCAGGTTCAGATAAGTGCATCGGGAAGTTCGCGGGTGCTTGCTCGGCCATCAGTCATCCATGCCGCGAGCTGCTTGGTGTAAACCGATATTCAACTCGATAAGTGACAGCGGCGCATCCTGTAAGCGCCCGATAGTTGAGTTGATTAGCATGCATGTGAGGCCCAGGAAGAGTGAAAAATCCTTTGGACTGTTTTTCATGGCAACGACTTGAGTGCAAACTGAAACAACTGGTTAGCTCATCTTCGACATCATGTAATGTTGTCGATGGCCTGCTGATTTGTTTCATAGGCATAGAAACTTAACTGTCAGACAAGACCAAACCCGAGAAGCGATACTCGGGCCCACGACACTTAGGGTAGCCCCATCACTGCGGCGAACCTCCCGCGGGTTGCGCCTTAAAGGCACCGTTTACCCTAAGTTGAGGGTGTTGAGCTTTTGGCAGCATAGGATAGTAGGCCTCCCTATCAATCCAGTGCCCAAGTCGCAACGCAAAATGCCGCTTCGAAAGCGAGAAAATCGCTTCGGAAGAGCGAAGATGCACGAGGACCCCATCCATGCCCGCCCATTTGTGCGCGCCCGTCCAATCACCGTTCCGGGAAGCCGGCCTGTGGGTTCTCCGGAACGGGAATTGTCGGGATTTTCGCACATTCTCGACTTCATATTTGAAATCAGGAACATGAGAAGGCCCTGAAACGACAAAAACGTGGAAGACGAAAATCTGGGTGGACGGTGCCTTTGACCTATAGCGGTAAGAAGTGCAGCCTTCGATAGGTCCGCGGCCCGCCGGGTGAGGTGATTGGGCCGCAAATTTTCCGATCCCTTCCCAGTTTCAACTTTGACCCGTTCCCGGTAAAATATGAATGGACCGCATCGCGTCATGTAACACGCTTTGAGACCGCGAACTTTCCGATGCAGTTGTCTGAGAAGGCGCGACTTATGCAAGGGGACGTAATTTTTGCAAATCGAACTTCATTTTACCATTCATAACTCAGGCCAATTTTCCGAACGTTTAAAACTTTTGAAAAAGCTTTGGTAATCAGAAAAGCAAAAATTTTGCTAATCAAGACAGTGTTTGTACTATCCCGGCTTATTTTTCAAAATTCACGAACTACATTTTTAAGAGTGAAAGTTATAATTCGATCCATTCAAAGATGTAAAATTGAAGTGGCAAACTATTGTTTAGCATGGATGTTCTTAAATAATTCACTCGAAATTCAGTAACTTGAACACTGATGAATCCATAGCTCGGTATTCTAGAAATAATAGTAGATTTAGGTTCCATAAAGGACGTTTAGGCGTAATGGAACGGAGCTTTCAAAGATAGCATCAAAAATTTTGCGATTTTGAGTTTGATGCTAGAAAATTGTTGAGGGCGAAAACTAGTTCAAAAGAATACCTAAAAATTACTCACACCGCAAAATTATATATGTTATGTGGCAGGCTTCAGCCTCATAGGATAACACAAAAACAAAAAATCAAATGTCATTCTTCAGAAAAACTCCTCATTACTGCACTTTTTCAGTGATAGCTTCTAAACGCTCCAGTAAACAGTCACAGGGTTTTCAAATAGGCATTATATCTAGCTTGTTGTTCAAACTGTGTTTCTTTGAAAATCCGTGGCGATAACGGAATTTATTTTGTAAAATAACAATTTTCAGAAATTCTCTTTTTTCATTTCTATATGAGATTAAAGCTTGCTACAGTAACGTATAAACTCTTTTGCTGTTAAGCCTCTTCTAAAGGTCTTTGTGGCTAGCAACCGGCCCTCCACAATTTCCTACAACCCTCCAAATCGATAAATTTGTTTAAAAACTTCGTTCTCGGTGGCTGGTTATGGATTGTCACGCACGTCAGCATGAACATTTGTTGGAGCCCAAACCTACTATTTTCTTAGGGACTGAATTATGGATTTAAGTTTAGTATTTGAAAGGTTTTTGAATTTTGTTTGAAAGTTCTTTACGCAGGAACTTTCGCAGCAACCTGATATTTAGAATATTCCAGGCGACTTTTTCTCCTCTCTAAAACAGCTAATTGTTCTCGATGGTACATGCGAAATCCGCAAAAGTCGCCATATCAACTCTAACAATGAGATTCAAATTTTTTACATGTTAAAGTGATAAGCACTTGTTTATATAAGTTTAGTAATGATGGTAATCGAGTATAAAAACGTCGATATTTTGGAAACTTTGCAGTATTTGATGCAACTCGGTGTTATACAATTTCTTCGAACCGAAAACAAATTGTGCAGCAGAATCGAAAGAAATCTTCATTTGTTGATTGTTTTCGCTCATTTAAGAGTCTAAGACAGCAATTTTAAAATCTATCGAAATTTAGACATTTTTAAAAGAAAGTCGTAAGCTTCGGCAACTGTCCGTACCCGTGGCATAAGTCGCATCGCGAACATAAGTGCTAGAAAAAGGAAAAATTTCTGTATTGGTAGTAATTTAGGGTATCTCTTCACCTTTATCGTCTGACAAAATTCGCGAGTGGGTGCAAAGCACTCATAAAACTCCACATTGCCCTCCCTCCCGCCTGCAGTTTGTGTTCAGAATTTGGTCCGTATTGGTTTAAAAATAGAACTTTTTGTTCAGAACATAGTGCAACACAAAGACAAACAAACTTACAGCTATATTAGGTCAATGCAAAGTTTTGTGAGTGTTTTGCACCCATTCGCGAATCCAGTCAGACGGTAAAGGTGAACAAATACTCTAAATTACTACCAATAAGAAATTCTTCGTTTTTCTAGCACTGGAGTTTTGGGGTGGATGTCGTAGGACAATTTGTTATTTATCGACATTTGCTTTATCGATTTGCGCAAACTTTGAGCTACTGGCAGGAGTTGGCACAAAGAACATGCTGACTACGAATGCGTGTTCAGTTATGAGGTCATCAAAATTCCGTCGATTTTATCAATTTTTTGCATTTGAATTGAACAGCTGGGAGTTGGTACAAAGGGTAGTAAGCATGCTGACAGTGAAAACATAGCGGAGAGGAGGGAAAAGTAGAAAGGGCAGGGTAACGTTGTGTGAAAATAGATGGTGACTTTCATAGTATTAACCTGCGGAACCCGGTGGGTAGTGTGTGTTGTTGAACCCGTGTGTTGGGTAGTTATTAAGAACCGTTGAATGCAAATTCTAGCAAGCAACAACTACCGTTATTTTTACCTTTTCGATCAATCACAAAAATGATCATATCCGAAACTTACTTTCGTGTAAACAAAAAGATGAGGTGTCAACGCGTTCTCAAGCGCTTCTCTACAACACACAGTGTAGAGGGACCAAATGTTCTTGAGTTTCGCTGCTCTTTTCCACAACGCATTCCTCCAAAGTATCCAGCAGGTTTGAGTCAAAGGTGCATTAGGAGCCAGCACTTCCACGAACCACATCTTCAGTAAGAGTTCAGTGTATGGTATCTATTAATGGAAAATATTTCTCACGTGCAGCACTAAATTGTCTCCATGAAATCTCCTCGGCAGACGAAAATCATAATCCGCCCATCCACGAAGAAACATTACAGAAAAATCTGATTTTTTGGCAAAATACGAGCCTGATATGAAATCTAATGAAGGTTTGAGAGGTTTAAGGGCTATTGTTTTTGGGTTGAAAGCATAGCTCAAGGTTAGGTCTCACAGAAAATGCGCTTACCTGACGCTATTTCGAAAGTGAAGAATCTTTCATAGAAAATTAGGTCAACATCCTCTTTGATATAATCTTCTATTCGCCTACAAAGGTTTTTTGATAGACCGGCGTAGACGAAATTTTTTACATTTGCTTATTGACGACGCCATTCCTTACATTTTTTCATTAACGACGCCAATGTCGGCTTCCACAAGCAGCACCCAATTAAAGTTATAAGTTTTTAAAATATGAGCGACAATGCAGTGACGTTGGAGGTGGACCTATAATACTAACGCTCGTACATTATCGTATAAAATTAATTGACCCACATCGTGTTGTTCACATATTGTTTTGAAATCCTCGCCATTTAGTTGCAAGTATGTGTAATTATTTTGCAGAGCATAACATTGCACAGAAAGCATCGCTGTTTTGTACTTTGCCTTATCAGAGCCACCATTTATGATGCTCAATATCGCAATGTTCTGTATTGCTTTTGTCTCGGCCAACGTTTCGTTCTGAACAATGCCAATAAATTTTAGTTTGTAAACCTTTGAATACAAGTGCGAAAGTGTTTCTTCAACAAAGACTCAGTCTAAAACACTTCCGTTAGTTGAGAGGTGTGGACTAAACCTTTGCAGAACTTTTTAAAAAATCCTCATTGTTTGATTGTTGGCGTTCTTTTATGCTTTAAAGCCTTTTTCGTTTCTGAAGTACCATTTTGTGGAGCTGAATTTAATTCAACTACGGGCATAGAGCAAGTCGTTTTTACTTTCATTATTGCAGGATTACTGTAGCAACATTAGGGAATGTTTGAGCTATTCCCACGCCTTGTTCAGATTATCAAGTAAGCTCGAAACTAGCTGACGCTTTCTTCCCGATTTTTTTAACGGCCCATTTAATGTTAATAGAATGTGCCTGAAGTTCCCACCGTAGTTCCCAATAAGCGATTGGTAATTTGCTCCACACTGTGATTCAAGCGGATGCTTGCTTTATAAACTGTTATATCAAAGGATGAAAGTCATGACGAAAACAGTAAAGAATATTTGGGGATACTTTGTATCATTTTGGACCAATGCAAAATGACTCCCAAAGGTTGAGCAAACCAAATAGCAGTTGAGTAATATTAGGTTCCGAAAGTAATGTCACATTTCAAATAACGGCCTTTTTCGTGAAGATTTTTGGAAGGTTCTGATAGTATTCGACGCAGCAATTCATCCACTTTTTAATGTTGCGAAATCATTGCAACACAGTCAATCGGCTCTCACAAGGAAAGAATACTCGATGACCTTGGCCATTTGTAATGCAACGTTTACCGTAAGATGCATCTCAAAACGCTGACCCTAAATCTGTGCTTGATACCTGACGATGAGGATTTTCTGAAGCAAGTTTTGAACTTTTATTCGTAAAAAATTTGTGTACTTCTGTAGTAAAAATTACCAAATTTGTTCCAACAAATTACCGTTCTGAAGTGTTAAAAGGCATACTGTTGTTACCTATCTAAATTATATTTACCATTTGTTGATGATTTGTCTCTTCGCAGTACCGCAATTTGATCATAAAAAAATAATCATTACTTCATCCGAGTTATCGTTTCGCAGATGTAAAAGACAGTATTCGAACCAGCATTGAAAGGCGCATTTTTAATATACAAATTATTACGAACGGCCATGGTCACCAAGTATCCTTCCCTTGTCAGAAAATTATCAAAATCTGCGACCCATGCTCTTTGAAATGATCAAGTTCCACAATTTTTCTAACCTTTTAGCAGCTTGGGTGCCATTCGATGCAGCTTTTTCTCCTCTTTCTAATGGGTTGTTTTTGGTTTCCGATTTCTGAAGCCTTCGGGATAAAATCATTATAACTCACGCTCCAAGCGCACCCGAAAAACTCGAAATTCAATATTTTGATTCCGTAAACCCTCATTTGCTCTGCAAAATTAGTGCTGAACCGTAAACCGCTTTCGAAGGTTTCAAGTTCCGAAGATTTGTTGATGTTTGATTCGTTTGTGTTTGATGCAAAAATCCAGAAGTTCAGTGAAAAATCCATCGAAAGTATATGACACGTTCTAGAAAAGGAGAGAATAACTGATTTACAACCTGTCAGGTTTGCTCTGTGAATTCGTTACTTGGACCCCTTGAGGGTTGATAAATGTTTAGAAAAATTGTGAAATTTGACCCGCAAATTTTGGTATTTTTCCGAAAGTCATTGACTATGCTGCAACGATTCTATTAGGTTGTCCCGAAAGTTTTGTCGGTTTCTTCAAATCACTGTACCATGCACAATGAAGGCCTGATTGAGTTTCAACATGCACTCTATGCAGCCTTTCCTTCTCTTTCGTAAGGATACATTTTCGTACCATAATCTTGTATGCTTTTCTGGATAATTGCCAGAATTCTCCACCTGTCAATTTTACCTGCTCAAAGTTAGGCTAATTTTTAAAAATTTTGTTACATATCGAAAAGGATTAACCATGATTCAAATAGAGCAACTCTCGGACTATAAGGCGGTCTTTTAGATTCTCCTAATCTGCTGATTTTAGCTTCAAAAAATTATTTCTCCGGAGGTCTCGATTTTTGGCAAAGTCATGAAATACGCAACTGCATAAAACACATGAGAGCTTTTGAAGTTTCTGCGTATTGAAACATGATTCTTACTAAACATTATTTGTGCAACATACTTTGATTCGCTTTGAAAAAACAGCTTTTTGGAATTTTTGGTACTTTTACATGTTGAACTCAATCAAAAAGCCGCGGTTTTTATTGAATAAATATTTATAACGGACTTGGTAAACGCGGTTCAGTAATCTAAAATAGATACAGTATAGCCAAAGGTTTGCTCTACATAGCAGTTACCAGCGCTCTTTGAATCAGAATGAAAATTCTAAAATTCAGAAAGGTTTGGCGTTACCGTGAGGCTGCTCGAAAATCCATGGCGATTACATTGTAAAGACAGGGTAGTTCAGAGAGCAAGTACAACTGTAAGAAAGAGGATAAAAATTTGAATCAAATGATACCTAGATCGTCCATGGATTGATGTTCTGTGAGTTTTAGTGAGCGATGAAATAAGCCGACAAAACTTTCGGGACAACCTAATATAACCATTAGGGAGAAAATGAAATGCTGCATCGAATGCTAACTGGATCCTACAGAAAATCTTTTTCTACGATATGTGGTTTTTATTTGGAAGAAACGGCATCACTTTCGGAACGAGCCATTATTCGATAAAACTAGAACTATTAGGTTGGTGCAAAAGTTCTGTCGTTTAGTTTTCAAAAATTTGTAACTTCGCGAGATTTCAACGGATTTGCTTGTTTATAATTTTATTAGAAAGATTAGGTCTTCCGCTTTCAATCTTTGTTTTATGGAGCTTCTGTTTTACACTGAGTGCAGAGATAAAAATGGAAAACTAAGACCATGTAAACTTTGACCATTTTAAGTTAGGTCACCAAAAATCTGGAATGCTGCAGAAAAATCTGAAATCGCAGTACGTATGTTTTTTTTTGGCCTACTCCTTGCAACTGTGAAAAGCTTGTGCTGTTTGGACCTTTCTGTGAGAAGTTATGATTTTCGTGAAAATTGAAAAATTATTCAAGTTTGGTTTTTTCCATAGTAAACTCGATATTCATAATTGCTCACAGAGACGTCCAAACAGCAAAGTTTCTTCACAGACGCAAAGGGTAGGTCAAAAAACATATGTCCTGACGATTTCAGGTTTTTCTGCAGCGTTCTAGATTTGGTGACCTCACTTAAAATGGTCAAAGTTTACATGGTCTTAGTTTTCCATTTTTATCTCTGCACTCAGTGTGAAGCAGAAGCTCCACAAAACAACGATTGAAAGCGGAAGACCTAATCTTTCCAATAAAAGATATACAAGCAAATCCGTTGAAATCACGCGAGGTAACAAATTCTTGAAAATGAAACGACACAACTTTTGCACCGACCTAATACATATTATAACCGCTTGCAGTGCTTGCAATAGAGCAGGTCGTCGAAATATGAACAAAATTTTTTAGTGTTCTAGCATTTGCACTGAAATTCTAATTAGCACTTTCGGACTCACTCGTTTTTTTCTAATTTGAATAATTTCTAGACGCCTGTAAGCACGCCTACTTTTATTCTTCCGAGAACATAAGTAAGCCAATGCAGACCGACGTTTCGCTTCATCCAATACTTGTATTGCAAGCTCCATGGTGGTCTGTCTCTGCCTGTTAGTTTTTGTCTCGTCAGCAAATCGTCATATCTTCACTCAAAAACTACCTCAATGGTTTGCTTTTTATTAACACCGACTCAATGGTTTTTATGCATCAAAGGAAAAGTAAAAGCTCATTTTGTCAATGGCACTGACAATGCCATTGGCTGTATATACCCTCGCTTCAGGCGTAAATTTCGAGCCAGTTCAGAAGGTAACACAAAGCCGATTCACTCCTAAACCATAGCGGTGTTGTGTTATAACTTTCCAATGCTTGGTCAAAAAGAGCGCGGCAGTTTTTCTGCACTTTTACAGATTTTTTCATTCGAATGCTGCGTTGCAATAAGCATTTATAACAATGCTGCTTGCATTTTGAGCATTCAACTTATCAAGATGTTGCAATCAGGCACATTGGTAATATTGGTGGCAATCATACATCATAGGATGTCCTAAAAATGTGAACACTGTTTGATCGTTAATAAGTAACTTTCTTGCTTTCATATCTTTCGCTGAGCTTCAAGTACCATTCCTTAGAGGAAGGTGCAGTAGATTTACAGTATGAACGAATTATCAATCACTTTTTATCACTGTGGTATCACGGTATGATCTTTGAGAATGATTTTAAAAAAGTGAACAATGTTTACCTTATAAAGAAAACCAAAGAAGCCAGAAACTCTTGTACTAAGCTAACTAAAGTCGCTGATTCTAAAT